CTGCAGGGAAGAGCTGGAGGAGGAGGAGAGAGAAGCCAATAACCTTGTATTTCTACATGACCTTGCACAGTTGAGCTGCCTCATTGCTGGTTATGACAAGTCACACTGGCAGGGCTGTGCTAGAAGAGAATATTGCTGCAGCTCTACAATCTGACACTTTTTGTGTCAGAACAATCAAAAGGAGCTGGATAAAACAATCAAATAGAGAAACAGATAAAACTCATCCTTCATGCAACCTGGTTTTCACCCTATTTTATCTAAAGACCTTGATATTGAATATAGAGCTTTGCATGAAGTACAGGATGCTGCTTAATTGCATAGCCTTAGGCCTGAAGAGTCTACATACTTACCTAGCGTGTACACATATCCAAACTTAATGTAGATGTTGCTAATTAATATACAATACAAACAATGCTGTGGTATTGGCAGCCCCCAAAATGACTAGTTGCTATCATTTCCAAGGTTTCAAATAGCAACCCTTTGACAACCGCTTCCCCTTCACTGGCCCAGTTAAACAAAGTATAGTTACTTTGGAAGCAGGCAGTTAGTTACCTGGCAGTTAACCAGAGCACAATTAAGTTGCAAATAGTATCTTTCAGCCCCACTGCCTAAAACATTTAAGTAATCTGGGTACTTAACCAATCGGCAGATAATTAATGTCCTCAGTGGCCGTGTCCAGATGAGCACGGTCACGCGGTATGTGGCGCCGCAGACACATCTGTGCACGCAGTGGCAGCAGGTGCCACCCAAAGCTGAAGCCTGGCAAGCCGGAGCCACGCTCCGCTGTCAGGCAGGATCGCTGCTGCTGCAGCTCCAGGAGGCCCCCAGGACCCCAGGTAAGGCTGCTGGGGCCAGCCCAATGCTGGCCCCAGCCTCTCCTACCCGACCTGGGGTAATTTGCTGCACACCAGAGGGTACATGGCACAGGCATTCCCTGGGGACAACTAGCAGCGGCATAAGGTGAGCCACCACTGGTTGTACCTGGGGAACCAAACGTCTACAGGTGTTTGGATACAGCCAGTGTGTTGAAAGCAAAGAAGAAATTCCCTTTGATGAGACTGCAGGGGGCTTCAGATAATAATACCCAACATTTGTTGCCTCTTTTGTTCCAAGGTGCCTGGAATACTGTAGCCATATAGTCTTTAAACATTTATATGCAGGGAACATTTTACACAAACTGCTCATACATTTGGAGTGGAATATGACAAATATTTAACGGTGCACAGGAATAATGCACAGCAAATCAAGACAGAGAGCAAAAATACTGTGGTATGGGGGAAACCTGGGAGGTTCCCTTGTTATAATTTTGTCCTGGATATTAGTTTTACAGTAGGGTCAAACAAGAAATTCCGTATGATTTTTAGTACTGTAGACCATCAGTTATCTAGAATAATTTATGTTACTGTAACCCGGGTACACCCAGGGGTGTGCCCTGTCTGCAAGTAGCAGGGATGGGGTGGTCAGGCAAGAGTGCTGTGAGAGGGGTCTGCCACCTGGGAGGCAGAGACATTGCATTTTTCAGAGAACTTGATGGTGTTTGACACTGAAAAACGCAAGGTTCTCCACCTTGGGAGGAAAAACCTGCAGCATCTTTATAGGCTCGGCAGTGCTACGCTGGCTAGCCCTACAGAAGAAAGAGACTTGGGGGTCATCATTGACCACAAGATAAACATGAGTCTGCAATGCGATGCTGCGGCAAGTAAAGTGACCAAAATGCTGGCTTGCATCCATAGATGCTTCTCAAGCAAATCCTGGGACATCATTCTCCTCTTGTACTCGGCCTTGGTGAGACCGCAGCTGGAGTACTACATCCAGTTTTGGGCCCCACAATTCAAAAAGGATGAGGAGAAGCTTGAGAGAGTGCAGAGAAGAGCCACGCTCATGATCAGAGGTCAGGAAAACAGACCCTACGACGACAGGCTGAGAGCTATGGGGCTCTTTAGCCTGGAAAAGCGCAGGCTCAGGGGTGATCTGATGGCCACCTATAAGTTTATCAGGGGTGACCACCAGTATCTGGGGGAATGTTTGTTCACCAGAGTGCCCCAAGGGATGACGAGGTCAAATGGTTATAAACTACTGCAAGACCGTTTCAGGCGGGACATAAGGAAGAATTTCTTTATAGCCCAAGCCCCCAAGGTCTGGAATAGCCTGCCATCGGAGGTGGTTCAAGCACCTACATTAAACACCTTCAAGAGTAAATTGGATGCTTATCTTTCTGGGATCCTATGACTCCAGCTGACTTCCTGCCCTTTGGGTGGGGGGCTGGACTCGATGATCTTATGAGGTCCCTTCCAGCCCTAATGTCTATGAAATCTATGAAATATTTACAGTAAAATTAGTACATGACACCATATACAATAACCTGCAATCAACACATTGCACCACTTTGAGGGACTGCAAAATATAAAATGGGTGATTCATGGCATAGGCAATGATTAACCCCCCTGCACAGAATGAATATTAATGCTCTGGAACAGGTAAGTCAAGGCATCAACACAATAAACACATATAAGCATCAACTTAGATAAACCCGGGTAAGTTGAGGTAGCAATATGATAGATGTCTACAGGCAACAATATAGGTAAGTTTTGATTATAGGCAGTAAACACATACAGGTAATGAAGACATATAAACCCCCTTAAGGAGTACCCATAACTCTATTAAGCTGTATAGTACGAAGCAACATCAATCACAAAATATAGGGGTGCACTCAGCACCCCACAGGGTGTTCCCTGGAACCCTTTCCCTTTAGGGTCCCAGGATGTGGACATGCCCCCTTCCACAGTGGAGGAGGGTGGAGGCTGCAGACCCTCTTCTCCCAAGCCCACCTCCCCTGTGGAACCCGCTCCCGCTCTGAAGCAGCCAAGGCCCATCCCCTGGTGGCCAATCCCGCAAGGGCCTCTCTCTGGTGGCACCTCCAGTTCCTCTTGATGGCCTGGTGCCCTGCACTGGGCACCCAGGGCACTCCTACACGAGTTGAGCCCTTAGTGTCTCTGGTTCCCCGGCTTCACGCTGAGGGTCCTTCCCTTTCCCAGGCCCTGCTCTGGGCATCGGGGCTCTTGTAGTTTAATGCTGAGCCACACTGTGGAGCTCTGGTTACCTGACCTAGAGCTGGGGCTAACTGGAGCAGCCTCAAGCTGCTCACGTGGTTGACCTGTGTACCGTGTGGGGCCCGAGCAACCTCGAGCTGTTCCCAGGACTGGCTCTCCATGTGCCGATCCATGCACCGCCCACCTAGCCGCTTGCTGGTTTCACCGGATCAAGCCACCTTGAGTGGCTTCTAGACCCTGAGCGCCGTGCACTGATCCATGCACCATTGAGGCTCAGGCAGGGTCCCAAGGATGGTCTTCTTTAGAGCGCCTGTCTCCTCACTGTCCTTGGCACATCTTCTCCCCAGCATGCTGAGCACACTCTCCTTTTATACACTTCAGGGGCTCCGCCCCCGAAGTCCGGCAGACCTGCCTTGCTGCAGTTCACAATCCGGTCAGGGAGCTCTTCTCCCCCTCACCTTTGGGAAAGGGGCAGTGCCCGCTTTCCCCCAGCTTGTTCCCGATTGGTAGATTGGCTCCACCAATTGAAATTGAGGATTCTCAAGCCCCTGGACATGCTGGAGCTTGATTGGGTAAGTCTGTCACATTACTATCATTTGGGGTAATCAGTTTTTCTGGATAATCAAACACCAAATATGAAGTGCTAAAAACTATAATGACTGTACTGTTCAGCAAACAATAAAAAAACCAAACAAGAAATAAGTGTATGGTCCTGTGTAATGTTTTAAAATGTCAAAGCACTAGTAAATACACAGTGTATAGTAGTCCTGCTAACAAGCAAGATTCAGCTGTTGACTGATAGTTTTGTTAATACAAAACCTTCTGATTGACTTTCTAAAGTATCAGTTTCCACATAATCAACTCTTTACTGTAACTGCAAATGTTCAATATCAAGTTCATATACAATAGACAGCTGTTATACAAAAAGATTTTTTGCCTATTGCTTTTAATCTTACGTATTTTCTTGAGTTTTGCATTGCCTTAAACTCCATTTTGTATTGCTCTGTAGCTTGACATAAGCGCTCAACTTTTGTACGCTGTATGTGTGAGAGAATGGGTGAGAGCGTATCTGTGGAAAAGAAAAACATCAGCTGGCGACTGGCTGAAGAATGCAGACAGATAAAAGACCAAAACAAGAAGAATCTGCCCCAGAACAGAGAGAGATCAGCGGCAATCTACCTTCAAGGAAGAGCACAGTGATAACACAGCAAAAGCCCAGAGGACTGGGTGAATTGGAAAGGCTGTAAAAGATCAGGCGAGACTCATCCATTTTGGGTCTTGTTCTGTATGTCATCCTGGAGCATCAGTTCATCTGACGAGATGGACTGGCAGGAGCCCGGCTCCTACTTATGATCAACTTGAGTGGCCACTAAGTTGATCTGAGCACTGATAAGACTGGTAACGTATACCAGCGCAGAACAGAAATTGGGGTATGAATGTGGTGTGCGTGTGCGTGAGTATTAAGTGCTTAATCAATAAATGCGGCATCTTGCCTTATTCTCCCTCATAAGGTTTGAGCAATTGGCAATCTCAGCATAATACTTCTTGCTGTATTGACTCAGATTGACAGTGCTTCCTACTGAATCTCTATCGTTATTCTTGCAAAGACAACCAAGGTGTGTTGTGCACTTACAGACATGTCGCTTAAATCTATCACAAACTCCATTTCTTTGCAGATGTGTTTGCTTCCCAATACTGTGCACATATGCGTTGACTTTTAATTTTGCCAGGGAGGACCTAAGACGATGGACAATTTTACACATTTCGGGTGACAGCCCTCTTCCTGAGGGGAGTCAGAGCCCTTGTGCCCCCACGTACTCAGTACCTCTGATTGTGCATTCATTTCAGGTTGGGAGGAATCAATTCAAGGGAGTTTTCTGGCCCTAAGTAGCATCCAACCTTTCTCTTTCTCATATCCACTGTATCTGCTGACATTTAAAATAATGAAAAATCTAACGTCTTATCTCTCCATAGAAAAAGACAAGTATTTTGGTGGTTTCATACAATCTTAATGTTACTAAATTATATAGATTAACAGTGCAACAATAAAACGTTCATTCATGTATACCCAAGAAGCAACTCAGGGGAGCCATGCTACTTTAGCTTTCCTAGTATATAGGTATGTATTAATAACATGCTTATTAATTAACTTTTCAAATACCTTTCACATTGCAATAATCACAAGGTGGGTCATTTACCATAATGATGAGTAGGTCATAATCAGGATTTGGCAAGCAGGCTGTTGGGAGTTAGATGATGGACTGCTACTTGTCCTCCCTGTCTCTTAAGAAGTCAGTCTAGGGAACATGTAGCTTATCCTTCTGCCTGCAAATAGAAATGGGAGAGTGACAAGGGACTGCCAAGTTAGGAAGTAGCATTTCCTAATCTGTGAGGTGCATGGAAGAAGTGTGTATTACTCTGTGCCGGTCTTTAAAAACACACCCCATATTTGCAGTGATTGGGCACAGGATTATTTTTATTTTCATTAAGAGGTACTCAATTTAAAACAGCTCAGCAAATAGTGTAATAAAGAAAGTTTGTACCAGCTCAGCTATCCATTTCTCCCCTTTCTTCTCCCAGTAGTGATCACTTTCTGACCACTATAAACCATGTAAGCCACAATTTTCAAATCGGTACGGGAGACTTAGCCAAGTTATGTGGCAAGATCCTCTGCACAGCTTTGAAAATCCTCCATATTCCTTCCACAGTTGTTTAGGGCAGGAATAAAGTAAAATTGTGTGGAACTGATAGAAATGTAACCATTAAAGAAATTAATATTTTTTGTGAGAAAAAAGTCAATATTGAAAAAATAGGAACAAATAGGGAAGTGAGAAGAATCTGGTAGACATTGGACTTACAACACAGGCATGTGTTATTGTTGCTAGGCTTCATAGTCCCCTTTCTTCAATAGCTTTTGTAATGTGTGACTGGATTGGTACTTTAATGCAGAAGATCTAAAAAAAAATATTAAAAAATAAATAAATACATAAAAAAATCAGGGGATACAGGAACTAGCTGGAATTCTCCTTTCCTAGTCTTTTAGTTTTTGTCCTGTTGAGGAGTTGCTTGTTTCAGTGACAGGGAAA